AGCACAGGGACCGTGGTTCAATCCCCCAGCACCACAGGCCAGCCAGCCCCGCCCCCTGGTGGGCTGAGCTGGCCACACACACACACACAAATAAATAAGAATTTAAAAAAAAAAAAAAAGAACATCATTCAGGAGGCTGAAGCAGGAGGATCTCCATGAGTTCAAAACTAGCCTGAACTGCTATTAAAGCCCTACCTCAAAAACAGATAGAAACACACCCAGCCCAACCAACCACCATTATCTCAGGGAAAAAGTATTAGGGTGACTTCCATGTGACCTCCCCCTTGCTTTGGGCTCTCTTTTAATCCCAGTTATGTAATTTGGGCAAATTCCTCAGGCACTCTGGGATTTAGTATTTTTAACTTTTCAGTTTCCTTATCTTCCTTTTTTTTTCTTTTTCTTTTTGGCAGTGAGCGTGTAACTGTTTTCAGACAGGGTCTCGTGTGTTGCTGAGGCTAGCTCCAAACTCTCAACCCTTCTGTCTTACCCTTCCCAGTTTAAGAATAGCAGGCATGTACAGCAAGTTTTATTATCTTTAATGTGAGAATCATAATGACTCTCTGAGGCTTGCTGCACTCAAGAGACTGAGGTAGAAGGATTGAATTGAGTTCAAGCCCAGCCTGAACTACATAAAGAAATCCTAAGACAAAATAAAACCAAACGAAAAAAGATTCAAGCAAATAGAAGTATAAATAATATTATAAATTATACCAATTTTTCTTTCCCTAACCATTTTTTGGTATTGAGGATTGAACATAGGACTTCTCACATACTAGGTAATCATTCTACCCCTGAGCTACATTTCCAGCTTTTAAAAACTTATACTTTGTTGTTTTTTTTTTAACATTTATTTATTGTGTGTGTGTGTGTGTGTGTGTGTGTGTGTGTGTGTGGCCAGCTCAGCCCACCAGGGGGCGGGGCTGGCTGGCATGTGATGCTGGGGGATTGAACCACGGTCCCTGTGCTTTGCCAAGCTTGTTCCAAGTAGGTGCTTTAGACCACTGAGCCATCTCTCCAGCCCCCAAAAACTTATACTTTGAAACAAGGTCCCATTTAGTGGCCCAGGCTGGCTTCAAAGTTATGATTGTCCCACCTCTCTCTCCTAAGTAGCTAAGATGATAGGCAGGCCCAGCTTCTCCAAACATTTTGTTTTGAAATCTGCAAACTTAACAGAAGTTGAAAAAATAACACATTAAGTACTCTCATATTCCTCACTGGGATTTCCCAACTGTTAACATTTTGCCACATTTACTTTTATTTTACTTTATTGTCTTTTTGAGACAGGGTCTTGAGCTCACTTTGTAGCCCAGGCTGGTCTCGAACTTGCAATAATCCTCCTGCCTCAGCCCCCAGAGTGCTGGGATTGCAGGCATGTACCACCATGCCAAGCACAACATTTACTATAACGTGAGCCACACTCAAATTTCTCCATTGTCCAGTGTCTTGTAGCTGTGTTTTGTGGCTGTCTTGTTTATCATTACCGTCCTTACTTTGTGCTCACTAGGGTGAATGCTGGCTCCCTCCAGGTCCGCTTGGGGCAGAAGAGTTTCTAGGTTCCCTCAGGTCCTCTCATCAGCCTTCCTTACTGAAGTCCTTTCCTCTGCCTGACTCCAGCCACCCTGAGGGCATTCTGGAAAAGTCCTTCCTGCCCGCCCTGCCTCCCTCTCAGGGTCCTCTCACTGGTCCCTGATCAGCAGGAACAGGTCTTCTGGCATTGGGGAAGCCTGGGATGCTCCACACACCACTGTGAGGCAGGCAGTAACTTAGGAAAA